GGAAAGTCACTGTGTATGAACCAGTACTATCAAGTGCTCTCGTCTTGCCGGATCCCTGGAACAAAGAGGGACAACGTGGTCAACTACGCCTTGGACAAGAGACCCCCCACACATATCACTGTAGTGCACAACTTTCAGGTCTGTCCGTGTTAGAAAATATAACAGTCCCTGTTCCAAATGTAACTTCCAATGGTAGGTAAATTGGAGGACAAAAATGTACAAAATAATTTAAGAAATATATTTAAAAAAATGTTTTGCATTTATTTATTAAAAAATACATTTAATAAATTTTCTTGCATCCAGGACTGTGATCTGTTAGTGCCATGTTAGAATCATACAACTTACTGTTTTATTGTTTGTTTGTTTTTTTCTCTCTCATTATGCAGTTCTTTGTGCTGGATGTATATAACAGTGACGGCATGCCACTGACCGTAGACCAGATCTACATACAGCTGGAGAAGATCTGGAACTCCTCTTTACAGACCAACAAAGAGCCTATTGGCATCCTCACCTCCAACCACCGTAACAGCTGGGGCAAAGCTTACAACAACATCATTAAGGGTGGGCACTGCCAACACTTAGCTAGACATATTAGTGTCTTCAGTGCTAGGAATTAAATCTTTGATAAGTAAGGGATAATGTACTTCCAGCCGGTTGTTATCTCAGAATAAACCCCGACAGGGTGATCAGGACCCCGACGCGATCTACAGAGCCGTGTAATACCGAGGGATAACATACCTCGGAATGTCGCGACTGACCAATCAGAATCAAGTATTCCACAGAGCCATGTAATAAGCTAATATACACCGCAGTTCAAAAGTTTGGGATCACTAAACTATACTATACTATTTGGGATCTTTTTTGAAAGAAATTGATACATATATTCAGCCAGGACACATTGATCCGACATTTATAATTTTGCAGGCATAATATTAAAGTTGTTACTGTAGCTGTTCTACAGGCTTTCAGTTCATTAAAAGAAAATCAATGTAGGGTTAGGGTTAAACTTAGGGTGATTCTTAATTTATTTTGTGTCACTTTCAGATAAAACAAACAAAGAGTCTGTGAGAGCCATTCAGAAGAGTATCTTTACAGTCTGTCTGGATGCCCCCTTGCCGTGTGCGTCTGATGACATGTACCGCACCCGTGCTGGAGTTCAGATGCTGCATGGAGGGGGAAGCAGGTGGAACAGCGGAAATCGCTGGTTTGACAAAACATTGCAGGTTAGAGACCCACGAGTTGATGTGTGTGAACTCTCACTGAGAAATGAAGCCTAAAACATAAAATGTATCAAGATTCTGATACTGTCATGATGATTAATATGGTTTCTAGTTTATTATTGGAGAGGACGGGACATGTGGGCTGATCTATGAACACGCCCCCGCTGAGGGCCCTCCCATCGTGTCACTGATCGACCATGTGGTGCAATACATGTAAGATTAACAGTGATTAAATGTGGAAAAGCTGTTTTCCCATGGCTAGATTGTAAGTATGGCTAAAGGCCGTTCACACCAAGGACGATAACTATAAAGATAATGATAAAGATATAGTTCTAAAAATCATTCTGAATATTAAAGAATAGCAGAGTCTACACCACAACTATAACGATAAAGACAAAGAGAAACGATATCGTTGGAATCACTTTCAAAACTATTTTTTTCCAGCTGATGAATGATAAAAAATTGGAATCCATCTTGCTGTAACGTGCTCGAGAATTTAAAGTGGCAGACGGGCGTGCGCTTAGAATAAACAGACGATATCGTTCGCTGGTGTGGACGCTAATATCGTTATCTTTATAGTTATCGTTCTTGGTGTGAACGGGGCATAACGCAGATAAGATTGACCACATATTTATACAGGAAGTCGTCAGAGATGGTCCGTACCCCAATGGTCCCGCTGCGTATGCCACAGAAGCTTCGATTCAACATCACGCCAGAGATCAAAAAGGACATTGAGGAGGCCAAACAAAACATGAACATGTAAGAAATCGAGACATTCCACTCAGTCTTTCTATTACCAACATTTTGATTGGTTGTTTTATTGGACAAACAACATTGCAGTATGATAAATGTTGAAAGTTTGAAGGTTTCTCTTCTCCTTCTCTGCAGAATGGTACATGACTTGGACATGAAAGTCAGTGTGTTTTCCCATTTTGGCAAAGATTTCCCAAAGTCGCAGAAGATGAGCCCTGATGCCTTTATTCAGGTTGCTCTCCAGCTGGCGTACTACAGGTAAACTTCACCAGCACTGCTATTAATGGTGTTTACTGTATTTATTTCTTAACTGTAACATCCTTCTGTTATTATTAGGAAGTTAATTATTAGTTTAGCTTATTCAGTTAATTCACAGACTCTCTGTTTCAGGTTTTACAAGCGCTGTTGTCCTACCTATGAGAGCGCTTCCCTCCGCATGTTCAGACTGGGCCGAACCGACACTATACGCTCAACATCCATTGACTCGGCTAAATTTGTCAAGGCCATGGATGACCCAACCAAACATGTATGGTCCCCTCTAGTAGACATTTTGAATCCATTTTGAATGGTTGAATCCACATTTGCATTATACTACAGTTCCCAAGTTTGTGGGTCAGTAAGATAATGTTTTTGGAAATAAATTAATATGATAGTAAAGTTTAAAAAAAATTTTTTTTTAACTTTCTATTCATCAAAGAATACTGAAAAACTGTATCAGTGTTTCCACAAAGATATTATTAAGCAGCAAAACACTGATAATAGTAATAAGAAGAAATGTATCTTGAGCACCAAATCACAATATTAGAATGATTTCTGAAGGATCATGTGACACTGAAGACTGGAGTAATGGCTTCTGACAATTAAGCTTTGCCATTACAGGAGTAAATTAAAAACTAAAATATACTGAAATAGAAAATGGCTATTTAAAAAGCAATAGCAATTTTTAGTTTTTATTAAATAAATGCAGTCTTGAGATGTCTTTCAAAAACATTGCAAAGAAACTTTTGAACAGTAGTTTACATCATGCATTATGCATCATGATGCAACATCATACAGCATGACTGTAAATAGGCTGCTTTATAAATATCTTGCTATGGAGCTTGTCTTTTTGATTATCAATATCAAAACCATCTTATTATTTTCCAATTGCATTTGATCCAGCATGAGAGAAAATGTAACAATCTAATTTTGATTGACAGAACACAGAGAAAGTGGCTCTGCTAGACAAAGCAGTTAAAGTGCACAGAGCTTACACAGACATGGTGAGTAAATGCATGCTGGTGATGTTCAGCTGATCACCTGTAAGTATGTGTATCAGTCATTATTGGTCTGCACTAAATATATCCCTCAGGCCATCCGAGGTCAAGCCATCGACAGACATTTGCTCGGACTGAAATTGCAGGCTATTGAGGACCTGGCCGCCCTGCCAGAGATATTCATGGATACCTCATACGCTGTGGCACTGCACTTCAACCTCTCCACCAGCCAGGTACTGTCAAACAAAGCTCTCTGGTCCAGGGTTATGTGCATGTTAATAAACCCTTTTTTGCGGAACAAACCCTGTTTAGTAATGCATGTACTGTGCCATTAACTCTACACATTTTTGGGGATGATCAACTGACAACAACTGACTCTTCAAATCTGCTCAAATCATATTGCTGTAAACCTGAAATCATCAGATCGTTTAAAATTCATGATCTTACAAAGGCTTGAATTGTGCTTTTTAATTTTTCCACTCTCCTAGGTGCCAGCAAAAACTGACTGTGTGATGTGCTTTGGCCCGGTGGTACCAGACGGTTATGGTGTGTGCTACAATCCCATGGATGCCCACATTAACTTTTCAGTCTCTGCTTTCAACAGCTGCCAGGACACTAACGCAGCACGTCTGGCCCAAGCACTAGAGGACGCGCTGTTAGACATGAAGACCCTGCTGGAGCAGACGCCCAAAGCCAAGCTTTAAAGATGATTATGTCAATTAGACTTGATCTTTGACCAGTTCAGTCAGACATTTGAGTTTACAACAGCATTCAAAAGGACAGAAATTTGAAGAAGAGATTTTTATTTAGCATTTGACCAGTCCAGACCAGAGTTGCCTGGACTCCACTGGACTGTGCGGTCTTTGACGAGCCTTAACACTAAATAATAATCCTTAACTTTTATATGTTTATGTGCTTTGGCTTTTGTTTGTTCAAAGAAACAGATCAATTAGGTTTGTCAACAGGTTTTGCTGATTTCTTTTTTCTTTTTGTTTGTATTGAGATAATGTGCATTATGGTGAACCTGTGGTTAAAAAAAGCTCATGTGATTCTTTATTGTATATTAGATATTAAATGTAATTAAATACAGAAAATGTTTTTTAATTGCCATAATGTAAATAGTGGCATTTGCAAAGCATTGGTTTCTTAGTTCTTTGTTCAATGTTGTAAATTTGCACATTAACACAATTTTAATAAATGTCAAGTCTTTAATAACATTTTAAATTCTGTTTAGATTTGGTCATTATTCATCAAAAGTTGTTCTTGTGCATAATGTTACTGTGCATAACTGTCTTCTTTGGGTCTATGTAATGTTGCATATATAATTATGTAAAATATCACCGCAATTGTTTTTACATATGGACACACACAAGATATAGACCTACTCAACTATGGACTCTGTGTCTTGTAATAAATATAAGAATTGATGAGTAACAATTACTATATATGTTCTGGTTTACCTTTCGTTGAACATGAATTTTACAACATTACATACTGTTATATGCATCATGGATCAGATAAACAGTTTTCATTTTATTCATACTTTTTTTTTTTTAAATGCGACATTTATGTAACAATCTTTCAAAGCTGCAGTTCAATCACTGACCCGTTGGAGTCTCCAAATGACCCCCTATTATCTGTCACACATGCTCGTGTGTGTGTGTGTTATGGTTATCAGTGAGCGGCTGTGTCCTCGCGCTTACCTGTGCTCATCATATCGCACAGAACCCTGCGCCGTTGACTCAGTTGTACAATACTCAAAAATTATAGTATGGAAAAAGTTAAAGACATTATTCCTGATTATAACGATGGAGACTTTCTGTGTCCTAAAAGTGGGTAAGTGTTATGAAAGAATATATCATGCTGTTGTCGCACTAATAGCCTAATCTTTGAATTAACAAGTGTTAAATAGCCTAACATATTTTAATAATTTTAAATAAATTATGTTATAGAATTATTGCACTCTAAAAATGCTGGGTTGTTTCAACCCAACTTTGGGTCAAATATGGACTAACCCAACCGTTGGGATAAATGTTTACATTAAATTTTTAACCCAAAATTTGGGTGGAAACAACCCAGCATTTTTTAGAGTGTGTTTTTTGAAACGATACTACTGAAGTGAGTCTGTTTATTGTATTATAGCCTGATTGTGTCTCATTAAGCTCAACCTGTGATTTTGTACAAGCTTTATTGAATGTGAAAATAGTGTTTTTATTAGTTGTCAAATTTTAATAATAATAATAATAATAATAGCCATAATGTCTTTTTCTTTCTTTCTTCCCTTCCTTCCTTCCTTCTTTCTTTCTTTCTTTCTTTCTTTCTTTCACTCCAAACTCAGTTTTAAATGACAAAGTGTAATTTTTCTTAAGGTGATTTTGTACAATATTGAATGTGAAAATAGTGTTTTTATTAGTTGTCAAATTTTAATAATAATAATAATAATAATAGCCATAATGTCTTTCTTTCTTTCTTTCTTCCCTTCCTTCCTTCCTTCTTTCTTTCTTTCTTTCTTTCTTTTTTAAACTCCAAACTCAGTTTTAAATGACAAAGTGTAATTTTTCTTAAGGTGACTGGAATTTATGTTAAATGTTCTGATTTAATTTAACAGATATATAGAGCAAAAAAGAACATGTTTTTTAACATGTTTTTTCCATTTCATTTTCCGCTTGTTGAAACCATGATGATGAGGCGAGGCTCCTCCTTCAATAATTTAATTCACATGTTAGTGATTACAGTGCATTTCATCTGGGCTGCTTCAAATCTGTACCCACTGTAGTTGATCCCAATTTAAATACCAGAACAGGAAGAAAAAAGGAGGAAGATTTATATATATATATATATACTTTTTGTATATATAAAATGGCCATGTCAGCTGTATGGGACACTGACTATCTGTGGAGAGAGGTCCAAGGGTCAGTGCAAACAGGTCTAATGTGTCTTCTTTCATGTGGATTTAATCATAGATGCTAGACAGGATCTTGTTGTTCTGTAATTGTAGTTCTGATCCATGCTGGTCCGGTGATTCTTGTGTGCATGCCATCAATGTAGTAACTTATTGTCATTTTTAAAGTAAATAATATTTTGAAATATTAGCATGTTGAACTTTCCACTTGCAATAGTGTTGACCGTGTATTTTCAACAGGCTGCATCTTGCTATTCTAGCAATGGCATCTGTGGATAGGTTCAATGTTCTGTCAAAACATGTGCTGTGTAATTTCCACATAACAATTCTTCTGTTGTTTTTGTTCATTGAAAGTCTACATAGATGGTTTTCAACTGAGTAGTGAACTATGGCTTGTTTTCATACATTTGAAACGTTCATTAGGATTTAAAATCGCAACAGATTAGATATGGAAGGCTGTTTGAAAGCTGTAAAACATTAAATGAGTAATTGTGATAAAGTTTAAAATAAGTTGCATGTGACATAAATTCACATTGTGAGATTTTTTACATTTGTATGCATTAAATTAAAAATTATTTACATTAAGTGCTATAAAGATGTAAAGCTATAACATGTGTGTGTGTGTGTGTGTGTGTGTGTGTGTGTTTTTGCATTTCTATAGGGCAAAGTTGGCCTCTCTCTTTGGTCTGGACCGAGCAGAGAGTCAGGGAAACGAGTCTTTCCAATTCACCGCCCCTAAACAGCCCAAAAAGTCCTGCGCCAAATTAGGTAGGTGGTACAGCAAATAGTTGCATAGCCTTTTTTTGGCACAGTTTCATGTTCTGATCATTTTGAATCTTAATGTGCGCACATAATTGCTCATGGTTTAATCCGTGTTTTTCTTAAGGCCCGCCTCCTCAGAAGTCCATCCCTCCTCCATGTGCTCCAGCTGTGCTGTTTGCTGCAGCTGTTCATGCATTCAGCTTGTTAGTATAAATATGGCAATTAAAGGATGTTTATGAGACTTTGAATTAGTATTAGTTCACACATTTCTTAAATGAGCTTTGATTTTCCACCAGTGTGAATGGACAATATGTAAAGCAAGGCAAGATAGGAGCTGCTGTTTTAGGAAACCATGTCACCAAAGAGGTAAGAGAAGCTAATTAACAGAAGCTTATCTCTAGTAAAAAATAAAATAAAAAAGGTAAAATACATTATAATAATAAGTATAGTTCAAATCTATGAACATATTTACTGACACATTCAGTGTACCTGAAGTATACTTGCAATAGTTCCACTTTAACACAATCAGATATACTTCAGTATATCTTTAGTTGGACTGCAGCACTTCGATTAAAGTGCATGAAGTACAAAATGAGTTGTTCCAATTTATTAATTATAATAATTTAGCATACTAAAAGTACAATTTCAGGGTACTTTTTAAGTACATAAATATGTAAATGTATTTGAAGTATACTTAGTATGAAATAAATGAATTTCAAATACATTTAAGTTTTTTTTTTTCACTGCACATTTTCTTTGGTAATTTTTTGTTTGTTTATTTTATTAGTTTTTTCTATCTGCACTTATAGTACAAGATTCTGTTGTACGACAGTAAACAAAAGCAGATCAGTATGGCTCGAATCCATCGTGGATTTGTCCTCACAGTGAGTGTTGATTCTATTCTATTCTATTCTATTCTTCTGTGTTTTGTTGTGTTAGATGCTGCACTCATCAGCTCTTTATACCTGTCCACAGGTTCAGCCCTGTAACTATGTCACTTTCTATGATGACCAGCAACAAAACTGGTCTTTAATGTTTGACTCAGCAAAGTCCAGGCCTGAGTTCTGTAAGGAGGTAATACTTAAACTGAATTGTTTGTTTAATAAAGATTGATGCATTCTGGATTTGGAATAAATTATTCTGTATCTCAAAGTGTGCCTCTTATTTACTTCAAAGCTGCGGGGGTTCTGCAAAATTGCTATGATGCAAACATCTTAAAATTTCACAGATGCACTATGTATTTGGTGAAATGACCTCTGAGCATGTTTCTCTCAGGTGTGCGTGGCCCGGTGGAACAGTGAGGCTTTGTCAGACTCTCTGGTCACTCAGGACCTGGTCCAAGGAGAAGGTCAAGCTGTTGATGTCGGGGACACAGTGGAGGTGGCCTATTCTGGATGGCTTTTACAGAACCATTCTCTAGGACAGGTGATTATTCATGGTATTTTTGTACAGATGAATTACATTGTATCAAAAAATAAAGAAAAAATAAATGTTAAAAAGTTTATAGCATCTTTTAATTCTCGAGAAGTTTCTATTCTTAGTAAATGATGCTGAGTGGAATCACTACTTTTCCTAAATGTACACAAAAAGTATGTTCTTTCTTTTTAGTAGTTGAGCACATGTAGCACACAGCAGCTCACTGTGCACATTCTTGTTGATTAGTCGCAGCTCAATATAAGTCATGCACTCACTGAACTAATCAGTTCACTGGCCATTTAAATGAGTCTGTCTGGCATGTTTGCTGTGCAGCTGGAGATCTATAAATGCGAAAGTTCAGTGTCTCTGTCTGTTTTTTCAGGTATTTGATTCCAATCTGGGCAAAGAAAAGCTGCAGCGAGTAAAGCTCGGAGCAGGCAAAGCTCAGAGGGTGAGCAGCTCTTGAACACAACAATGCTTTAAAATGATAATTAAAGAAATGTATAACAGAAAAATGTTGGTTCTGTCAGCTGTTGTGCCATGAAGCTCTTACATTGCTCTTTCTCACAGGGATGGGAGGACGGGATGCTTGGCATGCAGAAAGGAGGTCGACGTCTCCTTATCGTCCCTCCTAGTATGGGTCATGGTTCAAAGGGCGTCCTTAACCATGTGCAAGCAAACAGCACTCTGGTGTTTGATGTTGAGATTCATAGAGTAAGGCACTGACAGTGTGAATATAATTTAATATACCAGCAAGCATATTTAATCTCTCTCTAACTACTTTTTTGTTTGTATATTTATCTACATGTAGGTTAAATTCTCCAAAGTCCGACATAGTCGGGAATCAGTTGACACCTTCAGTGCATCTCCAAGCAGACCAAAAGAGAACACCAGCCAATCTATCTATCTGTATGTATGTATATACTGTATATATATAGAGAGAGAGAGAGAAAGAGAGAGAGAGAGAGACGTCAAAACATGATGTTTATTTGTCTTATCCAATTGTCCAATCTTATCCAAAAAAAGTATTTTTCTTTTCTAGATTTTTCTTTTCTAGATTTAGGCATAAATCTAGCACCATTTAGCAAGTTTTATGCTTAAAACATAAAAAATAATAGAGAATATAGATTTTTTAAAGCGGTATACGTATTGAAAGGTTAAATATAAAGATTTTGTTATACAGGTGTTTTAATTAGGTGACTTTACGACATACGTCAGTAAGCCGATTTTTATGAATTTATGCAAGTTATTGATCATTTGTATTCAGAGTCCAAGCACCCAAGGGGAAGGTGGAATCTGTATCCCTGACAGTGAGTAACATTTACCTTAACATTTAGACAGATGCCATGTGCCAGGAGTGGCTAAAATGCTGAAGCTCCAAATATATTTCTTTCTCGTAGAGTTCAGGTGCTTCCAAATCCAAGCTAATCTCACGTATAGCCAAGATGGGTCAACCCATGCTTCCCTTTCTCACTGGGGCCATTCCAGCTCAGCCTGACCCCAGCGACTCAGAAATAGAGGTCAGGAGGATTGGAGAGGTTGTTTACATTACACATACTGTATATGAATGTAATGCTGTTTAAATCTATTATGTCTCTCTGTGCAGGATACCAGTGAATTGATTTGTGATCCCTCTCCTTCACATTCCCACTCACCAAATCCTACACAAAAGCCCTGTAGTTCTCTGTCTCGTATGTATAAAAAGAATCACAAATAATCACCTATTAGTTAACTCATCCTATAATATTAGAGCTGACGGGATCTTTGCTTTCATGTACTGGTTTTTGTTGTAGTGTCGTATCAGCCTGGTGATGCTCAGAAACAGGAAGCAGTGCTGCCAGAAGCAGACTTAAACACTACTCAAGGCTTTCAGGTGAGACCCAACGTTGTATTTTACAAGTATGATTTCATTTTATTGAGTAGCATTAGCAGGACTAATTCTTAAAGAAATGCATACTTTAAGACGATGCATGAAATTGATCAAAAGTGACAGTAAAGACTTGTACATAGTAACAAAAAAGCTATTAAAAAAATGTGAAATACTCTTTTACTCTCTATTCATCAAAAAGAAAAAAAAATCATGAAAAAATACATGTTTGCAGAAAAATATTAAGCGCCACTGTTTTCAACATAGATGATAAAAAAATGTTCTTGAGCACCAAATTATTAGAATATTAGAATGATTTCTGGCTGCTGAAAATTCAGCTTTGCATTAAAGAAATAAATGACATTTATATTAAAATACAAAAAACAGTATTGCAATAATAATAATAATAATGAATTCTTTTTTGGATCAACAGCCATATTCCTTCAGACAACATCCTTATTTTCCAACACAGCTAGATTCATTTGCCTCAGTCTACCCATCCCAGCACATTCCATACCAAAGTAAGATCTGAGCCTATTACTTTTGTACACGCAATACTTGCTGAAATGTGTCACTTTATTTTACTTATTATACTTATATTTACTTATTATTATTAGCATGCAATTACTGCATGCTGTCACTGCCATTTTTACACTAAATGCAAACATGTTTTAAATAGCACCTGATATCACATCATTCTTGATGTCTGATGCTCGCCAACACAACACAGAAATTCTGCTGGCTATTGAAAAGCTGGCACGCAAGGTGGACCAGCTGAGCTGCAAGGTATATTGGTGCAATATGGATTATTATTATTATTTTTTAATTAGTTCTTATAGTTATTTAGGTCAAAAAACAAACAGAGATTTGATTCATTGTTCTCAGGTGGATGAGCTGCAAACAGAGGGTCACCTCTCTTTCAGACTCTCCTCTGTGTCCTTAGAGACAAACATGATCCTACACAACATTCAGAGAATCATTCAGGTTTGAATACAAGGATACTTTTATTAATTATAAGGATCGTTTTGTAATGTTTAGATGCAAACAAGTAGCCTTTTAAATGCCATCTGTGTTTTAGGAGAGTATGTGTCTGAAAAAGGAGGTTCTGGAGAAGAGTTCTCAGGTGGAGGAACAGAACCACAAAATAGAAAAGAATAAGAGGTGTGTTCAACCCTTTTCTTCACACTCCCAATTTCCTGCTTTCCAGTCAAATCAAAGGCAAAAAACCCTTCTAAAAGCAGGGGATCCTGTATGTTGACACACAACCAATTGGTTTACTCTGTGAGTGCAGGTATATGGAGCAGCAACACAGCCAGACTTGCCGGCTTCAGGCTGAGCAGGAAAAGGTACAACAGACACGTGACTTGCTAAATTATGCCATGTGGGTTTATTAGCTCAGTATATTATAATTTTATGTATGTTAAACTCGCTTGGTTGCTATGTTTCCATTTTGATCTGATTGTAAGTGTGTGCTGGAGAATGGCGTGATCAGGAAAATGCCATAAATCATCTCTCTTTCAGGTTCATTTGTCGGGAGAATTGGGATCCTCCACCACACAAGCACATCAGCTGCAGCAGGAGGTGCTCAATCTCCAGCAGAGGGCAGAGAAGCAGAAGTGCAAACAGATGGAGGACATCATACAAAACACGGATGAGGAGATGCAAGATCTGAGGGCTGAAAAGGAGAATCTGGATCAGGTGTGTATGATATGAGTGTATACAAAGCTATTAACCTGTCTAATTTAATGCTCGAATAAGAGTATTGAAGCATCATCCAGTTTTCTCTGGCAGATCCTGTCAGACAGGAAGAGGAAGTGGCAGGTAGAGCAGGTAGACGGAGAATGCCTTTAATCTTGTATTTACATTAATTTGAAATATTTTATTATGAAAATCTATAAGCAAAATAATAAAAAACGCTGTTCAGATGAGGGGTTAAAAGCTCTTATTTTGCTGTAGTAAAGTGTACTGAAACTGAGCTGGTGTATCTGGTGCAGGTGAAGCGATTGCTGAATGGAGTGTTTCAGTCTCTCAGGACAGAGATTGATTCACAGGAATCTTACAGCGGACACACGGTGCTTGAGATTCTCCAAAACACCATCAAGGTACTGTTCAACCAATCAGGTTCAGTTATACAATGATTTCAGGTTTTGCTGACGCCTGCTTTTCCAATGCAGAGTATCACCGTGAAACTTCTCTCAGAACCTCGGGAGCTTGAATCAGGCATAGATGAAGACAAAGTAGAGGAAGAGTACTTGTCAACTGAAGAGTGTCTGCAAATCAAAAACATGAAGAAGGAAAACAATGAAATAGCGGGAAAAGGCCAACATTAAAAAGGAAGCATTTATGCTGTAGATCAGAACACCTGCATATTGCAGTCTGTTCTACCATAAGCATTGGTTCACATACTGAGATCCTGAAAGGGGAATTGCTACTGTCCAATCACAGTTAAGAAGGCTAATTAATGTCCAATCAGTGGACAGCTGATCCTTTCCTAGTGTTTCAGTCATTGAACTGGAAGAACCCTATCCATAACAACAGTGTCCTGACTACGACACAACTGGATATAACTAACAAGGTTGTAAGTCAAGTTAACTAGATACACATAAATGTAATCTTTACTTGAGTTTGTCTTTGAGAACATTATTTAATATAGTATTTAGTTATAATTATAAAAGATTGCAAAAGACTAATCTAATCAACTTGACATTTCAGGAATTGTGGACTAATATTGATTTATTGAACCTGAAAATAAAAATGACACTAGGCATAATGTAAGAAGTAAATAGAAAATCGAACATAATTGCTAACTAACACGTATGTTATTTTGTATATAAACAAATGTATCTAAACAGCAGTATGCTGTTGAAAAAATAAACCTCTTAATTGTAAAAGGACTCGAGAACATATTGTCTAACAGGTTTATTTTGCAGAGGTCTGACAGGTGTGATAACACTTCAAAATGAATAGGCAGCATTTCAATGGATGTGGTTGGTTGGGTACAATTATAAAACCTAAATAAAAAAGAAAGTACATTATGAATATGTAGACTACAACGGAAAACGCGTAATGGCAGCACATATATTGTAAATGAATGTAACATAGAGATTCAATCTCACTGGTAAGAGCAGGAGGACTACAGTGTGTACACAAGTTAATAATAACCTGCCACCAGAGGGTAGTTTATACTACAGTTACTTCTACTAAACATTCTGACGATTTCATTTTTTTTTTCTTAAATGGCAGATGCACAGCAAATAAAAGACATATTTGTCCAGTCTGATCCATACAGCATAACTGTATCACACAAAGCACACAGATTAAGTTTGTATCATGCTGATAAACACTTAAAGCTTAATTCTTGAAATAGATAGATAAATGAATATTGTTTAATTACAGAGATTAAGTTCTTTTTTCATTCTGTACATGTTCAGTGTAAATGAAACATAGAGATTCAATCTCACTGGTAAGAGCAGGAGGACTACAGTGTGTACACAAGTTAATAATAACCTGCCACCAGACGGTAGTTTATACTACAGTTACTTCTACTAAACATTCTGACGATTTCATTTTTTTTTTTCTTAAATGGCAGATGCACAGCAAATAAAAGACATATTTGTCCAGTCTGATCCATACAGCATAACTGTATCACACAAAGCACACAGATTAAGTTTGTATCATGCTGATAAACACTTAAAGCTTAATTCTTGAAATAGAAAATTAAATGAATATTGTTTAATTACAGAGATTAAGTTCTTTTTTCATTCTGTACATGTTCAGTGAGAAGCAGACTTGCATATAAGAGCACTTGGATGAAGAGAGGTTCACAGAAGTCCACAGATTTAGGAAAGTCTCTCTTTCAGGTTCATTTGTCGGGAGAATTGGGATCCTCCACCACACAAGCACATCAGCTGCAGCAGGAGATGCTCAATCTCCAGCAGAGGGCAGAGAAGCAGAAGTGCAAACAGATGGAGGACATCATACAAAACACGGATGAGGAGATGCAAGATCTGAGGGCTGAAAAGGAGAATCTGGATCAGGTGTGTATGATATGAGTGTATACAAAAGGCTTTAACCTGTCTGATTAATACTTCAATAAGTGTATTCAAGCATCATACTGTTTTCTCTGTCAGATCCTGTCAGACAGGAAGAGGAAGTGGCAGGTAACTTGCTAAATTATGCCATGTGGGTTTATTAGCTCAGTATATTATAATTTTATGTATGTTAAACTCGCTTGGTTGCTATGTTTCCATTTTGATCTGATTGTAAGTGTGTGCTGGAGAATGGCGTGATCAGGAAAATGCCATAAATCATCTCTCTTTCAGGTTCATTTGTCGGGAGAATTGGGATCCTCCACCACACAAGCACATCAGCTGCAGCAGGAGGTGCTCAATCTCCAGCAGAGGGCAGAGAAGCAGAAGTGCAAACAGATGGAGGACATCATACAAAACACGGATGAGGAGATGCAAGATCTGAGGGCTGAAAAGGAGAATCTGGATCAGGTGTGTATGATATGAGTGTATACAAAGCTATTAACCTGTCTAATTTAATGCTCGAATAAGAGTATTGAAGCATCATCCAGTTTTCTCTGGCAGATCCTGTCAGACAGGAAGAGGAAGTGGCAGGTAGAGCAGGTAGACGGAGAATGCCTTTAATCTTGTATTTACATTAATTTGAAATATTTTATTATGAAAATCTATAAGCAAAATAATAAAAAACGCTGTTCAGATGAGGGGTTAAAAGCTCTTATTTTGCTGTAGTAAAGTGTACTGAAACTGAGCTGGTGTATCTGGTGCAGGTGAAGCGATTGCTGAATGGAGTGTTTCAGTCTCTCAGGACAGAGATTGATTCACAGGAATCTTACAGCGGACACACGGTGCTTGAGATTCTCCAAAACACCATCAAGGTACTGTTCAACCAATCAGGTTCAGTTATACAATGATTTCAGGTTTTGCTGACGCCTGCTTTTCCAATGCAGAGCATCACCGTGAAACTTCTCTCAGAACCTCGGGAGCTTGAATCAGGCATAGATGAAGACAAAGTAGAGGAAGAGTACTTGTCAACTGAAGAGTGTCTGCAAATCAAAAACATGAAGAAGGAAAACAATGAAATAGCGGGAAAAGGCCAACATTAAAAAGGAAGCATTTATGCTGTAGATCAGAACACCTGCATATTGCAGTCTGTTCTACCATAAGCATTGGTTCACATACTGAGATCCTGAAAGGGGAATTGCTACTGTCCAATCACAGTTAAGAAGGCTAATTAATGTCCAATCAGTGGACAGCTGATCCTTTCCTAGTGTTTCAGTCATTGAACTGGAAGAACCCTATCCATAACAACAGTGTCCTGACTACGACACAACTGGATATAACTAACAAGGTTGTAAGTCAAGTTAACTAGATACACATAAATGTAATCTTTACTTGAGTTTGTCTTTGAGAACATTATTTAATATAGTATTTAGTTATAATTATAAAAGAGTGCAAAAGACTAATCTAATCAACTTGACATTTCAGGAATTATGGAATTGTGGACTAATATTGATTTATTGAACCTGAAATTAAAAATGACACTAGGCATAATGTAAGAAGTAAATAGAAAATCGAACATAATTGCTAACTAACACGTATGTTATTTTGTATATAAACAAATGTATCTAAACAGCAGTATGCTGTTGAAAAAATAAACCTCTTAATTGTAAAAGGACTCGAGAACATATTGTCTAACAGGTTTATTTTGCAGAGGTCTGACAGGTGTGATAACACTTCAAAATGAATAGGCAGCATTTCAATGGATGTGGTTGGTTGGGTACAATTATAAAACCTAAATAAAAAAGAAAGTACATTATGAATATGTAGACTACAACGGAAAACGCGTAATGGCAGCACATATATTGTAAATGAATGTAACATAGAGATTCAATCTCACTGGTAAGAGCAGGAGGACTACAGTGTGTACACAAGTTAATAATAACCTGCCACCAGACGGTAGTTTATACTACAGTTACTTCTACTAAACATTCTGACGATTTCATTTTTTTTTTCTTAAATGGCAGATGCACAGCAAATAAAAGACATATTTGTCCAGTCTGATCCATACAGCATAACTGTATCACACAAAGCACACAGATTAAGTTTGTATCATGCTGATAAACACTTAAAGCTTAATTCTTGAAATAGGAAATTAAATGAATATTGTTTAATTACAGAGATTAAGTTCTTTTTTCATTCTGTACATGTTCAGTGAGAAGCAGACTTGCATATAAGAGCACTTGGATGAAGAGGTTCACAGAAGTCCACAGATTTAGGAAACACTACTGGGTGTGTGCAATACTTAAAGTTGCTTAAAACTGGATAGTTGACAATGTAAAAAGGACTAACAGTGCATTTGTTAGGATGAATGTCTGGAGTGTTTAAAGTACAGTGCCTTCAGAAAGGTTTCACCTTCAACCTATAATTGTCTATTCTGCTGTGTTGCCAAGTCAGTTCAAAACATTTAAATGTTGAGATTCAAATTTAAAGAGTCACATTTAAACAAAAAATTAAAATCTTACATTAAAAATGAAAGTATTAAAATACTCTGGTACTGCAGGGTATAGGCCCTTTCACACCAAGAACACTAAGTATAAGGACAACTTTAACAATAAATGTATTAGCATCCACACCAACGGACAATCTGTTTATTATAAGCGCATACTGTAGTTATGTCAGCTGCCACTTTAAATGCTCAAGCTCTTTAAAGTCAGGCAGATTCTGATTGGCCTGTAAATATTTTTTATCGTTCATCAGCTGGAAAAAATTGTTGCGATAGTGATTCCAATGATATATAGTTCCTCTGTGTTGTTGTCATTATAGCTGTGGGGTGATGCCCCAATTCTGATCAAATTAGAATGATGATTAAAACTTTAACATTACAGCTATTGTCCTTGATGTAAAAATCCCTGAATGGTGATAAATTTGGTCTTACTGTACTACAATGTTGATAGAATAACATGGACAGCGGGGCATGAAGAGTTGAAATCAAATACAGAAGAGGCACAAGTGCTTAGAGCGGGTCCATCAATGGCGATACTAAAGCTCAAGTGTCTTATTATTATCTATTCCTATTAGGTTTGAGTTAAATGAACCATTATCAAATACTTTCTTGCTGTTAATTTATTGGAATGTGACTAGCTTACGATGAACAATAAAACCTTATCCTATTAGACAAATGTCTTGCTGTGTAAGTTCCTCTTTGACTGGCTAGTTGTAATGGGAGTGGAAGAAAAAATCCAGTAACTTCTAAAGTGCTTGAAGGTTCACAGACAACGATTTCATGCAGCAAATGGGAGGAAGGAATAACAATGACACATGAGGTATGATCCTAACCATGGTAGGACACTCGCCAGCTTCAGCCGTGGTAAAGACGGACCCGCTGAGATATAGAGCCACGGCACAGAGGGCAGGACTGCAGGGCATCGCTGCAGGTCTGGCAACAGCATACATGCCCACACGGCAGGAAGATCACCTGTGACTGTGACACAAAGCAGAACAGGAGAGCAAAATAAGGTTAAATAAGGTCTGCTGAAAAGCAAATCTTTTGCATTGTTACAAATAATTTCTATTTTAAACAAACATTGTTCTTTTAAAAATATACTGAGATAGAATTGAGACCTTACCTCATGTTCCATGCACACCACACACTCGGAACTGCTCCATCTATCAGGACTTGGGGCAGTGGGGGTGAGGGGGGTGCTGGGGGTCAGTGGAGGAGTGAGCTGCTGTTGAAGTGGGGCGCTTGGAGTGGATGGACCAGCTTCCTGCATCTCTTTTGCTGTTTTAGGCAATGTTGAAGGGGCAAACATGTTATGATACCCTCAATCACAACTTAAAAACAAACATCGCTGAGAAAGATCTACAAATGTCACCTAATTAAAAATAGCATGTCCTCAAAAGAAAATGTATGTTCTTACGATCAGACAGAGTGCGTTCTCTGGCCCAGTGGAGAAGAGCTTTCTGCACGCCAACCTCATTGATTCCCAACTGTAGTAACACAGAAAAGATTTTAATGGACATAAACCTCTGATGACAAATTCCAAGAGACACACTACTTAAAACTTCTGTGTGCTAAAACACAGAAGAAAATGTGGCGGACCTTTCTAAGGTCTTTAGTGGTCATGTGTCGCAAGGCCTCTGCAGTGATTCGGTGGTGAGCTATGATTGGCAGGTAGTGTTGAGCAGAGAGTTTACACAGCAGATTCCCCAGATCTGCATCTACAGCTGCCTCCTGAGGAGAAAGGAGAGGTCAGCAGAGCGTCCATGATTTTGTGATTTAAACACAGGGTCTTTGAGCCTATAGGAGAGCTGCTCTGACCTGCATCCGCAGAGACAGAGGTTTGGCATCCAGGAGCCTCTGATACTGGATCATCCAGTAGTTCTGCTGATTGGATTCACTTTTCTGCTCCATCTCCACCTGAAAAAAAAAAAAAAAAAAACTTCGCACCATAGTTTACAAATTACAACCAACATACAGATGCATCTGTTGCTTTTTTCAAAGTCCTACACAAATCCAACACTATGTATCAGGTTGTATTTTTTTTTTTTTAACCAAGTGGCGACTACCATGCTAAAATTTTAAATAAATTTTTCCACATCAGTCGGGTGCATTGCAGGGGTTTTCGAATTGGCCTGTATTTTCTTCTATTTCTTTATTTGATTTACAAATAATCACTGAATAACAAATGTTAAATATCAAAGCCTCAACAAATGACATATTAATCAGTAAAATATAATCCATGGAAATAAAATACAATTAGCACCCAATAATATCTCAAATAATTCTACACAAATCCAACACTATGTATCAGGTTGTATTTTTTTTTTTTTAACCAAGTGGCGACTACCATGCTAAAATTTTAAATAAATTTTTCCACATCAGTCGGGTGCATTGCAGGGGTTTTCGAATTGGCCTGTATTTTCTTCTATTTCTTTATTTGATTTTTCTACACTGAATAACAAATGTTAAATATCAAAGCCTCAACAAATGACATATTAATCAGTAAAATATAATCCATGGAAATAAAATACAATTAGAACCCAATAATATCTCAAATAATTAAATAATAAAGAGGTAAAAATTTGACCGAAAATAAAAGGATTTTAATGTTGTTTTAAAGGCTGTCAAAGTTAAAGTGCATTTATCTGATAATAAAATGTCCAACAAATTACATAAAATAAGCAGTAAAATATAATACACTGCAATAAAATAAAATTAGAGCAAAACTATTAATAAATAAATAAACTGTTTTACTATTTAACAGTTTTACTAAAAAAATAAAAAGCCTGTCAAAGATAACATGTATTCTTCAGATACTAATGTGTATTAATTTTTTTTTCTCCACACACATATACACCAAATTTGAAATGCTGTTTTTTGACAATATCGGTATGACCTAAATGTGATTTCTGCAACAGTGACTGAAGCATGTGAAATGTTTCAGTTAACTGATCCAATTTCGAATGTCTCTTTTGAGAAATCAAGAAAGTTGGTCCATAATCACTTACCAAAACCATCCTGAGCTCCTCCTCCCTTTGGTCCTTCTGTTTGAGTAACTGCTGCAGTAGGTCAGTCAGAGCAGTCCTCTGGTCAGCTAGCACCTCCTAAGACACACACACACACACACACAGTAAATACACACACAAAAAAAACACACAAAGGATTCATACTCCCAGAATACTGTGATAACTGTGATCCAGTGATAGAGGTGGTGTGAGCATGATATTTAAACAGGAATGGGACGAAATGACAATGACAGAGAAATGTAAAAACAAGGAAGAGAAGTGAAGTGTGATGACAGAGTCATCATTACTCCTCTCTACACTCCACAGCATGATGAAGCACTGACAGGAAACCACCACATCATCTACTGCTGCTACGTACCTGCAGGTTCTCAGTGTCCAAATTCCTCCTCTTAACCTCCAGCTTTGTCAACTGCATTAACTCTGTCTCTATGAGTTTAATCTATGGATACAAGCATACAGTGGGGGTGTGAATGGCCCCATGGAGACATGATAAAACAGCCACCTTTTGGGTTCTGCATCCAATGAGAGGTGGGATGTGAGAAGCATGGGCTCACTGAAACTAATCAATTTATTCAGCAAGGACACATTAAAAGTATCAAAATCCACAGTTAATACATTTAGAATATTACAAATATTTCTTTTTCAAATAAATGTTTTTAAACAACAAAAATAAGAAGCAGCATAATTTTCAGCATTGATAAGAAATGTTTCTTGAGCACCAAATCAACATATTAGAATGAAATAAATGAAATTTTTAAATACATAAAAATAGAAAACAGTGATTACTGTATGCACGCTGTATGCAGTGATGACTGTATTACTGTTTTACTGTATTTTTAATCAAATAAAATAAAAAGAGACTTCTTTCAAAAAACATCAACCCCAAACTTCTGAATGGTGGTGTATATGTTAAGAAATGACAGTGCTGATAAAGTTAAAATTCCTTCAATCAACCAGTAGTATGATGTAAATCACTGTATCTGTGGGGTCTTGTTGGCTCTTCTATCCTAAAGGAAACTTTAATCAGCATACCTGATTACGGATATAAGCATGCACACTGTCCTTCTGGAGTTGGAGGGCTTCAAAGGCGGCCTTCTGCATTTCCTCCTGCAAACAAAAAGCCAATTAGGTTTAATCATTCAAGACCTACTAGACCAACAATGCACCACCTGTAATATCTACAGTAGTTCATTAATGTATTTTGCCTTTAGAGTGAATGGATGGATGCAGAGCAAACTAGTTTTTAATAACAGTTTTCAATTCATGTACATAGTAGGTTAGTGATTTAAATAGTTACCTCTTGAAGGATCTGACTAATGGCTTTGCTTTTGTCTAGCTGCTGCAGGGACAACACTTGGTCAAACTTCCTATCCATATAGTCCAAACTAAATAAAGGGGCAAAAAATAAAAAATTAAGACACAAGAAAAAAATGCAGTTTACTCACTGCTGTTTGTTTGAGGTTTTTTATTAACAATCAGCACAATAACATAGTAAGTGATTTCAAAATCAGAGAATGTCCCTTTGAAATCCAAACAAGTGGTCATAGAATATGCATTTGAAATGAGTGGTACCAAGAGAAAACAGTCTCGCCTGACCACTTGTGGTCAGATCACAGAGACGGATGTTAATATCAGGTGTAAACAGAGTGAAAAATTGCTGGATAGAGTTCAAAAGCATATGTATTGGTGGGAACTGAAGCACCTCCTGCAGGTCTCAGACAGCAGAATCTGTGTCTTGGCTTCCCTGGCCTCCTGAAGTAACCTTAAAGAGTAGCTCTCTGACAGCATCCTCTGCATGGCACCTGCAAACATGTAGCCTTTTTCAGAACCACAATAGCTAAGCTTCTTTTAAATGTTATTCACTTTTTATGAGACTTTTTTAACTGATAGAGGCAGTAGATATGACAGAAAATAGGGGAAGTGAGATTGGGACATGATGCAGGTCTAATTCAAACTATGAGTACCAAAGCACCAACTTGTCTGGAGCAGCTTGTTTTGTCAGAGCTTCTAATGACTTTCCTAATAAATCTAAAAATAATTGTAATTTCTAAAACTCACTTGCCACTTCCTTCTTCCTAAGAGAGTTGGCTTCATCCTGTGTGATGGCAGTAAGGTGTTCCATTCGTATACTAAAAAACAACAAATACAACAAATTCATAACTGTATCTCTATTCAAAAACAAAACAAAAAACATCACGGTAAGTCCCAGATTTCACCATGTGTGTGATTAACATCTACATACACTACAGTTCAAAAGTTTAGGGTCAGTAATATTTTTTAAGGAAATTTTCTATTACTTTTACTTTTTATAATTGTTTCATTTGATTATTATTACTATTATTATTATCATTATTAAGCTAGGATGCATTACATAGATCGAAAGTGGCAGTAAAGGCATTTATTATGTTTTTAAAAAATCTATTTAAAATAATTTCACAATATTACTGTATTTTTGATTAAATAAATGTGACTCTGGTGAGCATAAAAGACTTCTTTCAAAAACATTTAAAAACCTTATCAACCCCAAACTTTTGAACGGTAGTGTATACATTACAAACAACAGATTCTGATACACAACTAACACCCCACTGCAGGGTTTGTGAAACCACAACTTAAAAGTAGCACTCCAGATCTTTCTGACATCTCCAAAAATACCTGAATGTAACAGTAAATGTTGAACTTCAATCTGTGTGCTGTAGAAGCACCACAACAGTGGCACTGTCCAAACAGCTCAGTGCTTGCACTAAATCTGGACTGAAGTTTTCTTAAGTGGTGCCATTAGAAAGAAAGAAATTCACTTAGCAAGAGCTGCATTGATGGCAGGAGCCCATACTCCATTACAGAGTTCGACCCACGCGTAATTTCCACTCACCGGTCTTCCTCCAGAGCTTGCAGAAACTCGGCGCTCTTTGCCTGGCTATAATCAAATTAGCACAAATGCACAATAAATAACCACCCTTCAACTACAGAATACTAATGGACTTAGCATGACTAAAGGGATAATGATAGCTAAAGAAAAAGTGAGATATTTAAAAAATGGTTCACACGGTACCCTCACCGTTTGTTATCAAGTAGGAGGTCAGAGATGCGACTCATGATATTGCTCTCTGCCAGATGTACTTTATCCAGCATTTTCTGCCTCTCTGTTTCCTGGGCCTTCTGCTGCTGAGACACACCTAACTCCAACCGTTGCTGCTCCTGAGAGACAGAAAAGCACAGAGACTAATCTTTCTTATAATAAGGTCATTGTAAATGAAAACATGTTTTTATTAGCTAGCTAAGTGTAGTGACAGTACAACCTGCTACATTAATACTTTTCTTCAGCAAGAATACATTAAATTGATCAAATGTAGCAGTAAAGACATTTATAATGTAACAAAACAAAAGATTTTTCAAATGATGACTGATGATGATTCATCAAAGATTCCTGAAAAAAGTCTCACATTTTTCACAAAAATATTAAACAGCACAACTGTTTTCAACAGTCAGAATAATAACATATGTTTCTTGAGCAACAAATCAACATTTTAGAATTAAAGGATCATGTAATACTGAAGACGTTCTATTAAAATAGAAAAAAAAAGTTATTTTAAATTTGAATAATACTTTACAATACTACTGACTTACTATATTTAAGTATATTAAAATCAAATAAATGCAGCCTTGGTGACCAGAGAGGCTTGTTGTTGTAAAAAAAAAAAAAAAAAAACTTACTGCCCCCAAAATTTTGAATGATAGTGTAATTCACTCAAATGTGTCATACGTTTGTAAAACACATTCAACTCTACAATAAAAATTGTTACCAGTTTGACAGACAGCAGGACATCCTCTTTGTGGGAGTTGTTGAGGAGGAGGAGCTGAGTGTGCTCTCTCTGTTTCTCTTCAAGATCTTTCTCAAAGATCAACTTTTCCAGCTGTTTCTGCACCTAGTGGAGAAACAGAGAGAATGAGATGTAAATACTACTTCACTGGATGATCCAACAATAACAAAAAGAAACCAAATCAAACATACCTTTCTTTTCTCATAGTCCATGAATTTGCTCTGCAGTGTCAGATAGAATATGTTACATTAACAGATCAAATGGCACACTATATTTTTAGGCACTGTTTGAAATGGCTGATAAATAGTGATGACTGACCTGCCAGGCCATCTCTTCACCATCAACACAATCCACCTCCTGCTTCCCTTCATCATGCTCCAGCACAGGCAGCAAATACTGGGATGGAGGGCAATACTCCAGACTCATCTCTAAATCCAATTAAACAAACCAGCTGCACAGAATGGCCTTGTACCATCACATGGGGTTACATTTTAATATTTAACCAAATCTCGTGCATAATCTGTATTGTACACAACCTGTATACATCAGTCTGTATCTAACCAGACAGTAATAAAAGCATATTGTGTAAACTACTGCTTTAGAACAGATCCATACCTGAACAGAGGTAGCTCTGCACTTCCTCTGTGCCGGCCGTGCACACTGATGCAGGTGGATATCTCATATCCTGTGCATCCAGAATCAGGCTCTGCCACACCACATATACACATAAAGACATGAGGATGTCTTTGCAGAAGTCACATTGACATTTGAGCTTGTACAAATATACTCCAACATCTTAAAAATAGGTTTTTGATTTAAAATACTCACTTCCAAAGTGCGAACACTGGCCAGTTCTTTAGGTAATTCTCTAATGCTATTCTCACTTATGTCTAGTGTACGCAGGCTACTCATGCGTCCCACAGACACAGGAATGTCAGTAAGGCTGTTCCCTGTATCCATCAAAACATTTTGTTAATTTAAATGGTTTACGCTTTCATGTGATGTTAAATAAATTCCTTTACAGAAAATTTAAATGACTATCAAAGTCTCCCTGAAACATGTTAGTAACTACCTGAAATGTACTGCAGTGCTTTAATGAAGGTGTTTAAAAATGAATATCTTTTTGTGCCAAAATTATTTTTAAAAAGCACATAACACACCTTTCACATTAAGTGTCTGTAGATACCGTAAATCCCCTATAGAGTCCGGCAGCTGTTTAATGTGGTTCTTCTCTACATTCAGCACCTTAGAGAAGAAATCAAGGTAGTATGTAAGCAATAAATATGAAGGATACTAATTATCAATTAAAAAATATATTTAAAGAAAATTGATCCTTGCTCTAGAAGATTCACACTTCACTTTGGTACAGGCAGGATTCTTTTATTGTTTTATTTGATAGACGTCTCTTATACTCACCAAGGCTGTATTTAACAATAATGCAGTCTAATTTAATAATACAGTAAAACAGTATTGTGAAATACTATAAAACATATATATATATATATATATATATATATATGTTTTATAGTATTTCACAATACTGATTATTTTAACAAGTAATTTATTCCAGTGATGGCAAACCTGATTTTTCCCCCCATCATTTCATTTTTCAATGACTCCAGTTTTCAGTGTTGCATGATACTTCAGAAATCATTATCTGCTGATTTGGTGCTCAAGGTACATTTCTTATTATTATCAATGTTCAAAACAGTTGTGCTGTTTAATATTCCTGTAAAACCGTGAAACAAATGTTCATAATTCGTTGATATTTAAAAATTTTTTACTGTTTTTTACTACAGGTCTTTACACTCACATTTGATCAAATGTAATGCATTCCTGCTGAATAAAAATACTAATTAAAAAAAAAATTATTCTTAGTGACCCCAAACTTTTGACACACTAACCTACCTAGTGCTACACAGTGATATATACAGTAATTATGCCAATGGGTCTTTTAAAAATCAGCATTAAAAACAGTAATCTGTTTTCAAATGCCACATAAGAAACAACAATTCACATCAGCTTTGTTCATATACAATAAAAATACCTGCAAGGACAAAAGCTGCCCGATGTCATCAGGAAGTGATGTGAGCTTATTTTCATGCAGGTCTAACACCTTAAGAATTGACACAGAGATGTTGTCACTGGACAGAAGTGTAAGATGGTTATTTGCTTGGCACTGTTGTCATCAATCAATTTCTCTCACCTTTAAAGTTGCTAAGGCACCAATGAAGCAACCTTTAGGAACAAGTGACCTCAGGTCATTTCCATGAAGAATTAACACCTGCAATTAAAGTGGAAACTGCTGTGAAAGATCTGATTCCCACCAAAGGTTCAGAGAAAAACACTACAGTAAATAGACTCACTTTCTTCTGGAGGACTTTACATATGGAGAAGGCACTGTGTATAACGTTTTAGCACAAAAAGTGACCAGCAGGTGAGGTCAGAGTATAGCATATGTAATGTTTTTACCCATCCAGACTATGTAGATTCATGAACCAGTTAAACTTTAGAGGAAGGATAACCTTTTGAAAGCTTACACTACTAAAAAGTTTTTAGTGGCAGTGCATACCTTGGGGTTAGACTGGGAGCGGAGTAATCCTTTTTGCCATCTGTGTGATGTCAGTTTCTGTCTGTTAGTGTGGTGGTGCCTTAGCTTGCTTGTTCTCAAACCACAACAGCATGTTACAGGGTTTTAATATTGACCCCAACTAGAACATGCTGTAAAGAATAGATTCGAAGTAATCTTGCACAGGCCTGTAAGACATTCGTTCATCTTCGGAACGCATTCGGAATTAAGATTTGATGAAACGAGAGCTCTGAGACCCTCCATAGACGGCAATGTAACTACAAAGGCCCATCAATATGACATCAGTGGTTCAACCGTAATTTTATAAAGCTACAAGAATACTTTTTTGTGTGCTTACTATTAACATTTTTACATAACATTTATTTTCTCACAATTCTGACTTTTTTTCTCACAAATGCAAGTTTATATATCCTAATTCGGACTTTATACTCTCTTTATAACTCTACTTAACTCAAAAATTGTGAGTTTGTCAAATCTGAGGGGAAAAGAGAGAATGACGAGTTGTTTTTCTCTAGGAAGCAGGACTAATCAACTCGGTGGTTAACCCTGTGCCAAAAAGACTGGAACATGCATTATAACCATGTAAGAATGAGAGATTTTGATTTAGATGACTGTACAAACTGATCTTATTCTCGGTTTCTCAGGTACCATTAAAGAGATTCTTGGCACAGCTCAGTCTGTGGGCTGCACCATTGATGGTCGCCCTCCCCATGATGTCATTGATGACATCAACAGTGGCAAAATTGAATGCCCAGCTGTAAGTATTAAATTCCATTACGCTTTGTGTGTGTGTGTATATATATATATATATTTATTTTTGCCTTTTACTTGCTGGTTTTAACTGTACGTTTTCTTACTTGCAGGAGTAAAAAGAGGATTGAAGACAAAATAAAACCATTAAAATGACAAAAGTGTTTTGATTTTCTTTCAGTGGTTGTCAAACAGGGATTAAGATGCTAGAAAACACGAGCCAAGATGTAAACTTAATTTTTTCTTCTTTGAGAAATAATCATTTTATATAGTCACATTTTAACTTAAACACTCCCAGTTTCTGTTTAAGCTTATAAACAAGCTGCATTGTAATAATGACAGCAAAAATAGCAGAACACACAAGACGATATGGGGGACCTTGAAGTCAGTAATTCATTGGCTATATGAGTGGAATATACACTCAATGGCCACTTTATTAGGTACAGCTGTTCAATTGCTTGGTAACACAAATTGCTAATCAGCCAATCACCTTGTTGAATCTATGCCACAAAGAATTAAGGCAGTTCTGAAGGCAAAGGGGGTACTAGCCAGGTGTACCTAATAAAGTGGCCAGTGAGTGTATATTACTGTATTTAGGGAGTACCACATTTTGGAACTACACACAAAGGGCATTCAACTGAAGATATCTGGCTTTTTTTTGCAGTAAGACACATTAAGCATATAAATTGACGACCAAAAAAAAAGAACCTTTTAGAATTACAATTATTTATTTGAAAAAAATGGCTAACAGGTACTCAAATATTCCCAAGTTATACAAAGTACAAAAGTATGTAAGCTTAGATATGTTTTGTTGCCCTAGAACATAAACCTGACTTTTAAAACAGGAAAAAAACTGGCATAATATGTTTCGCAACAGCAGAAACCTTGTTCACAAAATGTTTGAGTAATTCAAGCTGCTCACCTTTTATTTCTCGTCCTAAATCATTAACACACATTTCTTGACTCCGGTAATAGTACATTTATTTGCTTAAAACTGTGTGGGTACTACTGTGTTATGTATAACTGATTAAAGTGAATTTGAGGAGACAATGTGCATTTTCTCTTGAAATATACCTCACTGTATTCAAAGGAGCACTCCGCAGGAAAGTTGCCACAATCATTTTTGTACAGTTGCTCAATTTCATAAAGTGAAACATTTGTATTCAGTACCATAGGCTTGTTCTTGTCCCACCATTAACGTGGAAACTATTATTCGCCATGGTTGATGGAAACCAGGACGGACTGAACAAATATAAAAGTCCTGCTTGCTCTCAGTTTTCCACATCCTCTTCCTCTCCTTCATTCTCTCCCTCCTGCTCATCATCCATGTGCTCGTCTTCCTCTTCATCTCTACTCTTGTCGTTCTCACCTGGGCTGTTCTTCTTCTCCTTGTCCTTACGTTTTTGTTCAGATGCCTCCTTCTTGCCTTTCTGACCTTTCTTGTAAGCTGAAAAAACAGCACATAAACCAGTTATACACATTAATATGTCAGATGCTTTAAATAATTCATACATCTCTGGACCTGAACTCTTCGGTTTCATATAGCATTTACCTTCAAGTGCTTCCCGCAAGGGTTGCAAGAAACGCTCAAACTCCATCTCCTCCATAGCTGACATCACATCTCCAGCGTTGAGTGTCTTCCTTTTTGCTTTCATAGCAAAATTGTTTGCACTGGTGTCAACAAAACAGTGGAGGTTACACTCGAGTAGGTTGCCAGAGTACAGCTTCTCATAACGAAACTAAACGTCTGACTTACCAAGATGTTGCATAGAGAACGAAAACACTGGCTGCTTGAGATATCGCTCGTCTTGCCTCCTTGGAGACGTTAACTCCATCTGGCAACTAAACACGAAGAGGACAGGTTGACTGCATACTAATAAACACAATAAAACTGCCTGCAGTGACTGAAAGAGACAATTTACTTAACACTTTCATTTCCATGGTTTTCTCTTAAGATGCTTTTCAGCTAATAACTAACTTAGCTGTGTGATGACACTTACTGCCTCTTTTATAATCCGCGTGATGACAGCATTGGGAAGATTGAGGTCCTCTGGTTTCTCGGCCATTACACTGAATACACACTTAAAAGAGATGCAACACGACGATGTAATGTATTTTGGTTTATATTAACCGATTTGTGTTGTTTAAGATGCGTGATCAGATGTCAAACTGAACAACCGCGAAAACTTTGTGTTAGCTTAGCCGTCTAACTTATCTGAGGGTGAACTGACACCAGCTACAATCTAAAACGATTGAAGTGCGTTAAATAACGAATTTCGTTACCTTAAATATGCGTTAGATGAAATATCCGCAAATCAATTCCCTACAAAACAAGCGAATACGTACAAAAACTAGTGTGCTTCACTGCTCTGCAGCCCGCTTGATCATCCAAACCCATGCGTTAACCTTTCACCTCTCAGTGCTCTGCCCCGCCAACCAATAGAGAATGAGGAGTTACGTCACGATCTTTTCACTCCGCATTGCATTTCGGGAAGGCGCCGCCATATTAGCAGGATACGCTATCCGTTCCCATGGTTACTTCTCATTCTCTATAAGGATAAATGCTTATCTTTTGTTTTGTTTTTGCCTTTAAGTTAAACAACCATTCATTCTTCATTGTATCGTTTGCAGGGAAGAGAAGCTATTTTATCGCACTGCATGATATGCACTGCATTTCTCTCTTAGGTTTTGTCGAATTTGGTTTACAGCGTTGAACGTTACCCGATTAGCGTGAAAACAGTGTCGCCCGCTGGACGCTCGCTGCTGCTTCAGTCATCATATGGTACATTATCCAAATAAAAGTGTGTGTTCAACAAGCTGACAGAAGTCCATCCATTTCTTTGTTGGAAACTGTTCAGTTAGGACGTCAATTTGTGTGCGTGGGTGCGTATTAAGTGACACTTTTACGTTTGACCTGTAATATAAATTACACTGAATACCTCAAATGTGAATTTCAAGGTCGCTTTGTTTTGTTTTTGATTTTTTAAGGCGCTATCAGTAAATTACTACGACGGTTCACATCCTGGTAGCAGTTGTAGTCCTGTCAGTGTGTAGTCCTTATTTATTTAGCATACGTTCAGAAAAAGTCAGCGGTTTAGACTTTTATTTAGTCATAAATTGAACATTTCTCTTCTAAAATTCATAGAATTTTATGGGGGGGGTGGGGG